GCCTATTACTATCAGACGGAGACCGTTACCCGCACATCAGCTCCTGACTACACTGAGGAACAACTGGGTGTCTTGCATGAAGCCGAGCCAATCCAGGCTGCGTCCGACAACCGGCAGCACCACAGACAAACAGTATGTCTGGAGTGGAAAATGTTCAGGGACTCCGAGACACAAGTGCCACGTTAACCCTAATAAAGCACCACCTGCTTCCAGACACAGCCTGTACAGGGGGATCGGTAGCAGTACGGGTGGCAGGGGGAGCAGTACTTTGCTTGTCCACTGCCAAGGACCATTTAAATTGGGGTGTGGGGTCGGGAGTTGTGGAAGTGGGTTTGATGCAGGAGTTACCTGCAGACGTGCTCCTCGGAAACGACTTGGAAAAACTAACTTCTGCTTTTTCGGCCCCAGCCTTCGCCCCAGGAGACTTACCCTGTGACCACCCGGCAGCAGTCTCGCACCGCAGACCAACAATCACACTCTGAGGCTCAGGTATGCAACAACCCCTCACCCATAGAGAACCTTTTCTGGGATGCCCCAGCTGAGTTTGAAAGGAAGGTAGCCTTAGACCCCACGTTACAGGTGTATAAAGATCGGGTCACTTCCAGTCAGGCAGGATTTGAGGGGGAGGGATACTCCTGGGACAAGGGGTTACTCTGTAGGAACTTAGAGAGGGTAGTGGCTGTGCCCATACTGACCCCCATGAAACAGTTAGTAGTTCCCCAGAAGTATAGGCAGGAGTTACTCCGCATGATATTCCGCTATCCGGACACCTAGGAGTCAGACGGACTAAATACCGACTGACGCAAAACTTTTTCTGGCCAGGGATTTTGAAAGATATTTGCCAATATTGTCAAACCTGCAACACATGTAAGAGGGGAGACAACCACAGGGTGAAACCCCCTTCCCATTATTGAAGAACCCTTCAGCAGAGTGGCTGTAGACCTTGTTGGGCCCTTAGCTAGACTCCTTCCAGCAAGAAATACATCTTGACCGTGGTGGACTATGCCACTAGATACCCACAGGCGGTGGCATTGACCAATGTCCAAGCTGAGATGGTTGCGGATGCTCAGATGCGGATTTTCTCTCACATGGGTTTTCCCTGAGAGAATATTTCAGATCGGGGTACCCAATTTACCGCAGAGGTCACCCACCAACTCTGGACACTATGTGGCATTAAGCCCATAGTGAACTCCTCATATCAACTGCAGTCGAATGGTCTCAGCGAATGATTTAATGGAACGCTAAAACAGATGCTCCATACGTTCGTAGACACTAGCAAGGACTGGGAGAGATTCCTACCGCACCTCCTATTTGCATATCGGGAGGTACCCCAGGAATCCACCGGGTTCTCCCCATTTGAACTACTGTTCAGGAGGCGAGTGAAGGGGCCCCTAGATTTAATTAGGGAACATTGGGAGGGAGATGTTAGCACAGATGGTACTGCTATCGTCCCTTATGTGCGCAGGGGATACAATAGGGAAGCAAGGGACCGCAGCTTTCAAGTGGGACAGAAAGTGTTGATTTTAAAATCCGTCTGCGATGATAAGCTGCAGGCCACCTGGCAGGGCCCATTTTGGCTGCTGGAACAAAGATGTGACACCACCTATGTGATTGGCCCTTGCTCTGGTGGAGGGGGGAGAAGCATGCTCCATGTGAACATGCTCAAGCCCTACCATGAGCGAAAGGAGAACGTGGCGGCTATGTGCGCCCTAACCTCCAAGGATTTCAAGAATCTTCCCCTACCAGACCTCCTAGGGGTAGGAGATCAGACAGGTGCCCTGGGAGAAGTACAGTTAGGGGAGCGGTTGAGCCCTCAGGAGCGTACCCAAGTACAGGAATTAATTACAGCTAAAGGGGTCACATTCTCAAACCTACCTGGGTACACTCCTCTCGCCACTCACCGCGTAGAAACCCCAGGTCAGTTGCCGTTATGCCAGCCACCTTACCGCATCCCTGAATTCGTGAAAGAGAATATGCACAAGGAGATTTAGGAGATGTTTCAGCTAGGGGTTATTGAGCCATCAGATAGTCCCTTTGTATCCCCGGTAGTGCTAGTACCGAAGTGGGATGGAATGACCTGCTTCTGTGTAGACTACCGAAGGCTGAACGACAAAACTGTGTCCGACGCCTATCCTATGCCCAGGATAGATGAGCTCCTAGATAAGATGGCCAGGGGCCAGTACCTCACTACAATAGATCTTTGTAAGGGGTACTGGCAAATTCCACTAGCCGAGGATGCCATAATGAAGTCGGTGTTTGTCACCCCGTTTCGCCTGTACCAGTTTCGGGTCATGCCATTCGGGATGAAAAATGCCCCGGCCACTTTCCAGCTGATGGTAGATCAGCTATTGGACGGGTTCCAGGATTATGCTTGCACATACCTGGACGATATTGCTATCTCCACAACACCTCATTCACACAGACGCTTCTATGTTTGGATTGGGGCAGTACTGAGCCAAGTCGGAGCCGATGGTAGAGACCATCCTGTAGCTTACTTAAGCAGAAAACTGTTACTCCAAGAAGTAAGCTACACCGCCATTGAAAAAGAATGCCTAGCTATGGTGTGGGCTCTCAAGAAATTACAACCCTACCTGTATGGACAACCCTTCTCATTGATCACAGATCACAACCCGTTAGTGTGGCTCAACAGGGTGGCAGGAGACAATGCCAGGCTGCTTCGCTGGAGTTTAGCGCTGCAGCCATTTGACTTTACAATTCACTACCGCCCGGGAAAGCAGAATGACAATGCTGACGGGTTATCCAGACAAACTGAACAAGAGAAGTGATCTGTGAGTACTCCCCCGGACATCCCCAAGCCAATCCGTTGGGGTCAGACTGTTTATGCCGGCTTGTGGTTACGGGGGACCTGTGTGGTAGAACCAGCCACCTATTTGGATTATGTGCCTTTCTTTTAAATCATGGAATCATATCTGGTTCGGCAATTGGGGTCCACCAAACAGGTTATAAATGTATTGTTCATATACCGAACAAACTCCCGTACAGTTAGACAACACAGGGGAGTCGTGTGCTGCCAATTGACCCTATTAACCTCCTTCACACTTAGAAACCGCAACGTGGCCATTGTTCGTATAACCAAACACGTGGCAGCAGCCATCTTTAGCCGCGAACACGTACAGCAGTGTTTGGTCGTCGAGTGCATGGAACTATAATCGGACTCTCGACAGTGCGAACACTGCTGGGACTTCCTGAGAAGAGCGGCATTCTGTGGGAGCAAACTCCCGAACGAGGGGCACACAACAAACTGATATATGAACTGTTACATTCATTATTTTATTGTTTTTCGCATTCCCAAAATAGACTGATCGCTCCGCGATCGTAGGATCTAAGTGCTTTCGAGATATGCTGGGCGCTCAGATCCAGGCTACACGGAGATATAGTACTTGAGGGGGTACCCTTATTGTTAAAGGGATGTTTATTAATGTACATATCCTGGACCTGAGAGGTAATGGAATTACGTTGTGTACTTTATCACTGTCCCCTCTCAGGTCCAGTGGGGAATGCCCCTTGAATGTGTTACAGTAAACCCCTTGCATGGGGACACACATAAAAGGCCGTGTGTGGCTCCCATTAAACAGTTGACACCCAGAACTGTGAATCGTCCGGTTACTGGGGGAATTGGGATTTATCTGCTAAATAACGCTCTGCTTCATGTTTTTTTTTTTATTCTGGCCGTGGAGATATTGGGATTTATTATTACAGGTCCGCTACTATATATATATATATACAAAGATCAGCCATAATGTTAAAACCACCTGCCTAATATCGTGTAGGTCCCCCTCGTGCTGCAGCTCTAATGTGTTGAGATATGGACTCCACAAGACCTCTGAATGTGTCCGGTGGTATCTGGTACCAAGACATTAGCAGCAGATCCTTTAAGTCCTGCAAGTTGCGAAGTGGGGCCTCCACGGATCGGATTTGTTGGTTCAGTATATCTCACAGATGCTCAATTGGATTGAGATCTGGGGAATTTGTAGACAAAGGCAATACTTTGAACTCTTTGTCATGTTCCTGAAATCCTTCCTGAACAATTTTTGCATCGTGGCAGGTTGCATTATCCTGCTGAAAGAGGGCACTGCCATCAGGGAACACCACTGCCAGGAAGGGGTGTATATGGTCTGCAACAATCTCTAGGTAGGTGGTATGTGTCAAAGTAACATCCATATGAATACCAAGACCAAGGTTTCCAAAATTTTCAGCAATTTAAGCTACAATAGCTCTTCTGTGTGATTGGATCAGATGGGCGAGCCTTCGCTCCCCATGTGCATCAATTAGCCTTGGACGCCCATGATCCTGAAGCCAAACCACTGATTTTTTTCCTTACATCACTTTTGCTAGTTACTAACAACTACATACTGGGAACACCCTACAAGACTTGCCGTTTTGGAGATGCTTTGACCCAGTTGTCTAACCATCACTATTGTCTCATGTTAAAGTCACTCAGATCTATTTATTAGATCTATTTAATCAATGCTATTTACTTCACCTGTCAGTGGTTTTAATGTTGTGGCTGATCATTACATATAAAGAGAGAGAGATTGTAATTTATTTATTTTTTTACTACTCCATGCTTTCTTACTCTGTATTATTGTGCAGAGTTAATTAAATAGAGGAACTTAGGAGGGATGCAGGTGGACAAACCTTGTGTGGGCGGGTTAGCTTTAAAACTTCAAGCTGACTGTACACAAAGTACCTCCCTGGAAACATAAGGAAGGGAGGACATGACTTCTGGCAGGGATAAGAGGATGGTCCCTAAGGGGATACATTGTGGCACCTTGGCATTAAGAAGGGGAGAAAGGGGAGGGTACTCACCAGTTACCGGGCAGAAGTGTAGTGGTGCTAGCTTCCCCTGGGACTGTACAAAAAATAAATAAATTATGAATTCTCCAGTTTATATTACTTACACTTCTATTCTACCTACCTTTCCCTCATCTGGTATCGGGAGAATTGTTTCAGCCATGTCCAAGGATGATGTGGTAGCCTTATTGCAGGCGTACCTCGAGAGCATTGGAGGAGGTGATTGCCGGTGTGGACAACCGCCCGGCGCCTGCTGCAGCTTCGGAGACATCGGTGGTTTTGCCGGATGGCGGTAGGAGGGCCAGGCGTTCCAGGCCTCCTACGCGCTTGTCACCCAGTCCTGGCGATGTCGGCAGCAGGGTGAGCGTATCGGCACCGCCAGGACTTCCCCGGTGAGAGGAGGAGGGAGCCGGAGGTCGGTGGATGGAGGCATCGTTGGTGGACAAGATGGCAGCGTGGTGGGAAGATCGTGGAGTCCGCTGTCTCTTCCGGTCCAAACGGCGGGAAGAAAGAGAATGCCGGAAGTGATGGTAAGCATCGGCGCCCTTGAGCACGTCGGACGTCAGGTTGCCGGACATCATCAACGGACGCACCCGGAAGTGACGCGCACCGTCGGCGCCCTGTCCAGGACACGGAGTTCCCAGGGTGCCGGACGCAGAGGAACGGTCAGCAGGGAGAAGAGGAGACAACCGGATGTACAACTGGAACTCCCATCACCCGGAGGCATCCGGCAGCAACACTCATCAACCAGAGGCATCTGGGAGCAACTCCAATCACCCAGAAGCAGCCGGTTTCGGTAATGTCAGCCTGGAGCACAGCTCGGGTCCTGTTGCAGATGTCCATAGGAGGTCTTGGTCGGATTCTGCTTCAGAAGAGGAGGTTTCGGTGCCAGCAGTTCCCCAGCGGTCCGGTGAGTTTTTACATTGCGCTGGCGCTCAGGGGACTGGTGCCCAAGAACATCCTAGGGAGTGGTTGCACCTGCCTAGGACCCTAGTTGACACTTTCCCATCGCAGCTTACTGGGCATAGGGGAGCCGCAGGGCAGTATATTAGATTCCCAGTGCAGTCGGAGGTACAGGGATGTGCACAGGACCCTAGGGGACAACCGGGCGCGGGGGCTTTTCGCGCGGGTTCGGTGGGATGCTATCTGGCCCCGTTAGGTTTACATGTCCATAGAAAATATGGAGAGGTAAGTACGTAGATCTGCTGTCCTTGGTCTCTCCTGACAAGGATTCCGTAGACAGACCTGAAGTTCCCGAGGCAGACAAGGGTAAGCATATCCCCAGAACCTTTGGCAATTGGTTGCAAGGGTTTAATATATTTTCAAGCATCCTAGTGCGCCGTTTCCTGGATAAGGCTCCTTCACTGTTTGGTTACTTAGACCTAATTTGGAGGGCCTATAAAATCTACGGGGGGCAATGCTGGTTTCGCTATGACCAGCAATTCCACCAAAAGATGGCGGTGTGCCCGGGTATGGATTTTGGGGTTCAGGATGGTAGTCTCTGGCTGTAAAAAATGACCCCTAGTAGACCATCACCCTTTCCCGGGTCTGCCGGAGGTGCCTCCGGCTCCTCCGCAGGGCAGAAAAAATGCGTCTGCTGTCTCTTTAATGAGAGCCAGTGCCTGTAGTACAGTTCATGCAAGTTTCGCCACTAATGTGCTCACTGGGGGGAGCACACCCAGCTATGCGCTGCTTCAGAAAAGGGAAACCAGTAGCCGGGAAGGGTCCTTCTCGAGACAACATTCCTAGGGGAGAGGATGCCAGTGGACGTCCTAAGGATGCGCCCCTGGCTTGCCCGGTATCATAGAGTTTGCGATGCGCATATCTTATGCGACGGATTTCAGGTGGGTTTTTGGATTCCTTTTGTTCCTTCTTCATTGCCCCAGTTTGCGGACAATCTCCGCTCGGTTAAAGGCAAGGAATACATTCTTTTTCCTTTTCTCCCTTTTATAATTTACGCATTTCTCCCCTGGGGCTGGTTCCTAAGAAGGAACCTGGTTCCTTTCGTTTGATACACCATCTGTCTTATCCGTCGGGAGGTTCCGTTAACGATGACTATGCATCATTCGACAGGGCGTTAGAGTTGGTGCTCCGTACAGGGCCTGGCGCATTGTCGTTGTTTGCAAAATCTGACATAGCATCGGCTTTTAGTCTGTTGCCGGTTCATCCCTCCTGCTTTCACTTGCTAGGTTGTTCGTTTCGTGGGGTTGTATACTATGATATGTGTTTGCCCATGGGCTGTTCAATTTCTTGTTTCTATTTTGAGATGGAAGAGAGTATGATGTGGAAGCTAAAGGGATACACTCATAGTGGGATTAACCCATACAAAACTACCAAAGTAGTAAAAAAAAAAGACGAAGAGAAATCTGAGTGCCCTAATTAAATAAAATATAACTTTTAATAATAAAGGTTAAAAAATAGAGATACGTGGTTACCCATGCAAAAATGCGCAAAAATAGTCAGCATATACATATAATAGGCTGTACACTAATAGATCGCTATGTACAAAAACAATGGGCCTAAGAAAGAAAGTAACTATAATAGACTAAACCAGTGATAATTGTAATATAAATCACTGGGCTACCCACTAAATAAGAGCCCTGAATGCTGAGCTATTACCTGTGGACACCACACAACCCTCTGAATCCCGAGGTTTTTTTTTGTTTTTTTTCCTGTTATAGACTGGGTGGGCGAAGGTTGCTCGATCTTTTTTTCACTTTTTTTGTTTAAAAGTAGGCAGGCAGGCATGATATTAAACCTGTCAGTGATTCATTTATTTCATTACATTTGCAACCTTTTTTAGCCCTTTCACTATGGGTTCCCAGTAAATTTAACAGGTTAGTGTTTTATTGTCAGCCGAATGAGGCACTTTGGCAATATTCTAAGCAATGGCCACATCGGCATTCTGATTTTAACACAGTTAATATACTGGGCTAATAATATTTAACTTAGTGCAGTTATTTTTCATATTCTGCCCTAAGTATACACATTATTAGTGTTGCACTCATGTGGGCACAACACTATTTATGTAGACTATCGCTTGTATAAATACATCCATCTCCTTTTGCACATTCTAATACATATCATGTTATTTGCGTGGGTCCATTTAAAACCAGCACGATAGATGTGGAACTGAGCACGGAGAGCTATATTTAGATCGAGCAATAACAGATCAGCTTGTATCCCTGTTTGTAACAGTATGGCCATTTAGACAAACTGCAACATTGTCTTTTGCAGTTAAGACCTAGCAGAGGACACTGAAAACATTTGAACAGGTCCTCTTTGCTCTTATTATTAGATGTAGTGTCACATCTCCCATATTTGGAGATGCTATTTGATGGCATGATAGTTTAACGTGTTATACTAGTTTTTCTCTCAGTGCTCAGTCCACAGGTTGTCAGGATTACTGTTTGATCCAGCACGTAGAACTGTACAGCACGGATGACAAGTAAGTAACGTATTACCGGTCCTTAGAATGGCCGGATTTAACGTACAAAGAATAGTCAAAAATACTAGCCGAGGTCAGGGAACACAGAAAGGGACACAGCGATGAGGAAAGCCAGGAGTCAGGATACCAGAATATAGAGAAGTCAATAAACAAAGCCAAAGTCAAAAACCAGGTAGAAAACTATAAACAGGAACGCACTCTCAGACAACCACAAGGGAAACCACGACAGGGCACTGAGCAGGCTGAGAACTGGGCCTAAATACCCCTCCTTTAGTTCTGATAGGCTGTAACCGGCCTTTGACCCCAAAGTCAGTTACCAGGTTTCATTTGCATAATTGATGCTCAGCATTAACCCTTCTGTGGATTAGGTTGCTGCTCGGCACAACTTTTCCTGTGTGGACAGTAAATGTCATTAATCACTTTTCTCTAAGCGGATGAATACATGACACCAGGTTTCATTTGCACAATTACTGCTCAGCATTAACCCTTCTGTGGATTAGGTTGCTGCTCGGCACAACTTTTCCTGTGTGGACAGTAAATGTCATTAACCACATTTCTATAAGCGGATGAATATGTGACATTACCCCCCACCTGAAGAACGCCCACCGGGCGGACAGGACCAGGCTTGAGAGGAAATTTAGCGTGAAAAGCGCGGATCTTACGGCCCGCATGCAGGTCAGGAGCCGAAACCCAAGAACGATCAGCAGGACCGTAACCTTTCCAAACAACCAAGTACTGTAAAGTGCCCCGAGAAAACCTAGAATCCACGATAGAAGATACCTCATACTCTTCCTGACCACCCACCACCACCGGAGGGGGAGGAACACAAGGAACAGTATATCTATTGCAGACAAGAGGTTTGAGTAAGGACACATGAAAAGTGTTGGGAATCCCTAAAGATGCAGGAAGAGCCAGAGAGTAAGACACTGGATTGATCCTACGAAGCACTCTATAGGGACCAAGGAATCTGGGGGCAAACTTCATGCTAGGGACCTTAAGCTTGATGTTGCGAGATGACAACCAAACCCGGTCCCCCACTTGGTACACCGGGTTGGCACTCCTACGCTTATCAGCAAAATGTTTGAAGCGTTCAGCAGCAGCCCCTAGAGCAGTTTGAACCTTAACCCAGGTATCCCGAATGGAGGCCAGACGCTCATCCAGAGCAAGAATGGCAGTATCAGAAAATACCGCAGGGAGAACCGTAGGATGCCTACCATTATTGACAAAAAATGGACTGTGCCCAAAGGAGTCATGAACAGCATTGTTTCTAGCGAACTCGGCCCACGGGAGTAGTTCGGACCAATTGTCTTGTGTGCTATTAATAAAACAACGCAAATAAACTTCTAATGACTGGTTAGCCCTCTCAGCTGTACCATTGGTCTGTGGATGGTAGGAGGAGGAGAAGGAGAGATCAATCCCCAATTGTTTACTGAACGCCCTCCAGAACCTGGACACAAACTGAGAGCCCCTATCAGACACAATATTGTGGGGGATGCCATGCAAACGGACAATTTCACGTATGAAAATTAGGACCAAATCTTGCGAAGATGGCAACTTCTTGAGAGGAATGAAGTGAGCCATCTTAGAAAATCGGTCTACAACCATGAGAATAGTAGTGAACCCAGCAGAGCTAGGAAGCTCAACAATAAAGTCCATGGATAGGTGGGACCATGGAATCTCAGGAGCAGGAAGAGGCTGCAACAGGCCACAAGGAAGTGCATGAGTCACCTTAGAAACTGCACACACAGAACATGCCTGCACATACTCCTTTACATCTTTCCTGAGTGAATCCCACCAAAATGATCTAGTGATCGCGGCAGTGGACTTATTGATGCCCGGGTGTCCAGCAGTTATATTGTCATGGAACACTTTCATGATATTAACCCTTTCACATAGGGGAACGAACAGTTTATCACACGGTTTACCACTGGGCGCCTGAGGCTGGGCCTCCAGTATGGTGCCAAGCAGTGGAGAAGACAGTGAGAGGACAGTAGTAGCAATAATACACTCTGGTGGAATAATAGGAGATGTCATCTGTTCCGGAGCTGACTCATTATCAAATTGCCTGGACAAGGCATCAGCCTTGGTATTTTTAGAACCAGGTCTATAAGTAATGAGAAAGTTAAAACG